CCTTTACTGTCCTGTAAAAGCCTTTCCTAGCTGACTGCTTTATTTCAGCATTTATATACAGCAGATAAAAGACTAAGTGACCCCCCCCCCCCATGACCTCACTCATTCCCCAATTTGGACACTGAAAGTAAGTGTCTTCCCTGTTTGCCAAGAAATGATAAACCAGTTGAATAGGGATTCAAATGACTGGTGCAATTGAATATGCTTATAAGCTTATTCACTGTATTTAAATAATTAAAAGCTATTAAAATTACTCACTAATAATTAATAATACAACTGAAAAAATTCAGAAATAGTAAAATACACCTATAATATTCTATCTGCTATATTTATAAATTCCAATTGGCCATTTTAATATAGGGCCATTTATAGGTGGCCAGGTGGGTAATAGGGCCATAGGCCAAATGACCAATACCAAAAGCATAATAAAACACAATATATTACACCATTAAAACTTTACTATCGTAAATATATATTATTAAACATTTTATATTTACAGTGTGCTTAAAATTTTACAATTATACTTGAGCACAATGTTTTAATAATAGGCAACTTTATAACAAGAAAATGTTAAAATGAAGAAACTTTTTAATGGCTTCATAATTGACGTTTCTTCGATATTGTTGCTTACTTCTACTTTATAATTGTCCATTTTGTTATTTTCTTTCGCTCGGTTTGCAAATTATCTCCATTAATCCATAGAAAACAAGCATTATACGTTTGTATTTCTTCGTATTTCGAACGCGCACTCCTTGAAGGCAGCCATATTGCCGAATATTAACATCCACTTGACGAATAAACTTTTCATATTTCACTCTATTTCCAACGACCAATCAAATCACTTCTGCTTCAGCTTGTCCCAGGGCTTACGGCAAGGCAGGCAGCCAAGACGCACTGGGAATGAGGATGCAACAGATTGAAATATCGAAATAAAAGACGAAAAACTGAGGCTACAAGGTTCAAAATAACACTGTAAATAGTGTTTTTGATTGTGAATCGAACAAGACTACAACGAAAAAGATGTGTTCGAAGGGGCCGAAGTTGTTCCGGCGAAAGGTATGGCTTTAGTGATACATTGTTTACATTTTTGGAACAAATATGTAATTTGTTGAAATATGACACCTCTTGACCCTTCAAAGGTCATAAATCGCTATAATGTTTGTCTTTTACTAAAACTATCATTAGGAATCAGGAGATATTATCTCGCTGAATCGAATGGTGGTATTTTCATCTACGTAGCATGTAGTGAACCGAAGATATGAACCTCCAAAATACTATTTCAGTTCTGCAATAGTTTTCACAGGGCCGGTCGAAAAGGAGTTAATCACTCTCCCAATACAACCATTCATCTCCACTGAATATTTTTGAATTTTGATTGTCTCAATACATTTTTGTTCATCATTGTATCCAATATTCTTATAATGATTCTCCAAGTAATGTCTTCCTGATTTGGTTTGTCCTATTTCCTCTTGTGACTCATTATGTGTTTAAACACTGTTTATTTATCCATTGATAAATGTTCTTTTATATGCGAGCCAATGGTCATCCCAGTTTCTCCAATATACAAATTACCACAGTGTGAACAAATAATTTCATATATCACATTCTTCTTCAAGCATTGATTAGACTTCTTACAGGTCTTGCATTTATTGGGACAGTTCATTTGTCCTTTGGGAGCTGAAAACACTTGAGACAATGGTTTACCATTCACAAAACAGAGGGTGTTGATGGGGTATTCCATCAACCTCGTTCCCAGGCTCTTTGCTCTTGGGAAGCAAAGACCCTGGTCGGAGCTGGTCACGTGAACCCCCAGATTTTGGGGGTAAATGAAATTTGAGCTCAGGGAGGGGTAGTAGAGGAGTCTGTTTGTTGTGTTTGGAAAATTGCAACTTTAGGTGTTATAATTTCGGGTGATAAAAATGTAATTTGCAACAAGAGATTGTGAAAGGCATTGTTTTAAATTGTACCGATCATGACAAGACTCCTGCTGTACTGAATGTCATCAATAATAAGTGTTGCGGTACATTTCAAGCGAGAAGCTGGATCATATTTCACTTGCAAGGAAAGCACTCCACACGCGCCGTAGAAACATACATATCTTTTACACACAATGATCAATCTAACGGTATTAAAGAACAATATGTATAGGTTATTTTGAGGCAACGAGGGGATATGTGATTTATTCACCGAGGCGCGCAGCGCCGAGGTGAATAAACACATATCCCCGAGGTG